CAGCAATTCAAACCCACTAGCTGCTCTATGGAAGGAAGATGGGGTGATCTACTTCCATAAAGATTTATAGCCTCAGAAACCCAATTCTGAGTCAGAATTGACTTGATGGCAGCGAGTTTGGATTTTTTATTTGGTATATATATATATATATATATGTAAAACCAAACCAAACTCACTGCTTTGAACGGATTCCAACTCATAGTGACCCCCACTGACTCGACGTCAGTGAGCTTGGCTTTTTTTTGGGGTGTGTGTGTATACACACACACCGACACACACGTATGTAAGTGGTATAGTGCCTAAGGCATTTGACTGCTAACCAGAAGGCTGGTGATTCAAACTCACCAGCTACTCCTTGGAAGGAAGATTGGACAATCTACTTCCGTAGTGATACTGTCTTGGAAACCCAAGGAGAGACTCCATAGCAGTGAGGTTTTTTTTTTTTTGGTATATACATGTAAAACCAAACCAACCTCACTTCTTTGAGTTGATTCCGACTCATAGTGACCTGCATTAGGTTTCTGAGGCTGTAAATCTTTACGTTAGTGGATTGCCCTATCTGTCTTCCACAGACCAGCTGGTGGGTTTGAACTGCTGACCATCTGGTTAGCAGCCAAATGCCTTATCCACTATACCACCAGAGCGCCTTATGTGTGTGTGTGTGTGTGTGTGTATGTATATGTTTATTTATTTATATTTATATACATATTAAAGCTGTCTATTCACCAAAGCTCCTGCCTTGGTGTCTTGTGTGAAGCCAACCCACTCTCTTTGATCAATGCTCCCCACCCTCTGCTTGCTTCCCTGATTCCCTGTCTCTGACACACATCCTGCCATGCAAACAACTGGCAATACCTAGTGAGGGGACAAGTGGCAGGAGGTGATGGGAAGACCTTGCAGAGCAAGGGAAGAGGGAGAGAAAGGTGGGTGGGCATCAGGAACTGATCCTGGGGCTGAAGGAAAGCAGAGTGAATGAATGTTCTGTTAGGGTGAGAGGGGGCCTAGAGGGAACACCTGCTGGTCCTGTGTGTTTCCAAGAGAGATATCCTTTCACCCAATAGGGAGATATGGCTAGGGCAGGGCAGGGGTTAATAGTTAACCAACTGCACTCACAAGGAACTTTATGCATTGCTCACTAAGCCTTTTCTTTCAGCTCTCCATGTCCCTTCCTTCTCTCTCCTTATACTTTTACCCGGTAGGGACCCTGCTCCCTGACAAAGAACTTTCTCGCCTCTATTTCTGCCCTCAAATTCCAGATGGAACAGTATGGAGCTAGATAAAGAGGTTCCATATGCCCAAATGCCAGGGAATGGGGCTCAAGAAAGCCTGAGGGCTAAGCAAAAGAAGAAGGGGGTGGCCTCTTCTTACCACCCATCCCTGCTAGCCACCTTAGGATGAGCTGTTTGACCCTGGAAAGAACTGCCTTTCTCTCTATCTCCGCATGGCTCACCTTTAGAAATGACCAAAAAGACGTGGATGCACACTCACCCCTCATTTACTCTAATCAGGCATGAAATCTTTGTAACTAAGTGAAAAAACTGTTTCCCATAAGGGACTCTGTTCCATTCATCATTGTTTGAGCTGAGCATATGTGGAGGGGAGAAACAGAATATGCACATATAATGAATTGATAGCAGACTGCCCCTGGGTGAGGGTGGTAGAGATGGGGGTTGGGGCTGGAGACCAGGAGCTGTAAACCTCCAGCACCTCAAAGCCTGTTTCTACCAGTTTTCCCTATGGACAGTCCTGAATTATTTCTAGTTAACAGACTGTAACACAATGCTCCAGTCTCTTTATGATCAGAATGGGGTGGGGGTGAGGGGCTTGGCTTGGGGCTCCTGGCCTCTCCATTTGCCATGATGGACAGAAGTATATTGTGCCCCAGTCTGTGTGTGTGGAGACAGCTGTGTGGCAATGCAAGGAGACAGCTGGGGGTGGGGTGGGGGTGGGGGTGGGTGGTGCTGCTGCTGGAGACAGGAATAGCTTCCCCCCAACACCAAACCCCATGTCTTAGGGGAGGCAATCGTAGAAAATGAGGCAGGATGGAGACTATAAAACCCCTAAACAGTGACAAGTCCAGTACCATAAATATTTCATAGTACCTGAACTGGTGAGTTTAGGCTGCTGCCAGCTGCAGCCTTGTATATTTAACCATGTCACTGGTTCCCCTCCTGTTTGTGCACTTGCTTCTAACATGCCCATGAAATAAAGATTAGCTGAATAATCAGAAGTATTTGTAAATGGTAAAGGGCCTAGTAGAAACGTGGCTGTTCTCTGCAGGTTTTTCTTTGAACCTCACTTTAAGCGCAGACTCCAGAAAAACAGATGGTGAACTTTTACATTCATCACACCTGCAGCTTTGGATGGCCCAGGGAGTTGGAGTGAATGCTCCCTGGGCTCTGGAGATAGGGGTAGGTATTTAGGCCAGCTCTGAAAGGCGGGCCACCAACCTTGTAATGACATGGTTTCAGGTGATGGACATGTGACACCACCATTTATTGTTTATTTGACTTGGACTGAAAGGGCTGCCCCAGGCCTGGAGAGACCCCTATCCTACGCTGTGTCAGAGCAAGGTTCAGGTGGGATTCCTTGCTAGGCTTATGGTGCCCGAGCAGAGGAGACTTTCCTTCCCATACTTTCCCACTTTGGATACTGTGCCTCCTCAGCAGCATCTCTACTGCTCATCACTCCAAATGTCATTTCCATTTAGCTGCTTTGCAAGCCAATTTGCCCCATCCTAATGTAATTTGCTGAGGACAGTAAGGGAGCAGAAACAGCAGTTGTGTTGCCCTCCCTTTATCAGCCAGTCCCTGAAGAAGATCTGCTGTGGGAGCGAGGGAATGTCTAGTTTAAGAAATGCTGGCTGGTGGCGGCAAGTTCAGGGATGAGGAGGGGTCAGGAGTGAAAGGCAGTGATGTCAGGTAGAAGAAGGGTAAAGATAAACAGCCTGGCTAAAAATCTGGACAACTTCGGCTCTTCCTTTCCTCAGTTCCCTACCCTCTCTTCCCACTACCCCAAATCCCCTCTTACCCCACCTCTCAAGCCACCTGGGGAGATCACAGGTAATTAGTTACAATGGTGCTTTGGGAGGTGAGAGGAAAGTTAATGAATTCTTCTGTCTTCAGGCCTGTAGGTCAGAGGGGAGTGGGCTGCAAGCAACTTGGGAGCTTTCTGTGGTGAATGCACAAAAGTTGTGCATTTCAATTAGGAATAGTTTAATTCTGCCAGTCAGGGCTATCTCTTTCCTGGGCTTTGTTGGGCTTTGTCATTCTGTTCAAGGCCCCAAAATCCAAAGCCAGCCCAGCTGGAAGAGTGAAGTTTCAAGGTCTGGGAAAGAACCTGAGCAAGACAGGAGCCTGTATTGTGAGCGTTAGGGGCAAGGTGAATCTGACACCTGCCCCGAAAATGTCCAGCCAAGTCCAGACACTCATCTTGCCTTGCTGCTTATAAACCTTGTCCACTGTGTCAAAGGAGAGAACGAAGGGCATGAAGGGATCTTGCCCCAAATGTCTGTGGGTTCCTCCAAGCTGATGGACCCCCAAACTACTGCCTCACACTACAGCTGGCAGTCCCACTCTCTCAAACCAATGTAGCCTTTATGTTCATTGAACATCCACTATTGGTGTGCCTGTTTCCTAGGACTGCTACAGAGGACCTGATGCCATTTCCACTGACACCCCCCTCCCAATAGGGCTCTCATTTCCAGTCCTTTAATGGATCTAGAAGCGGCCCTGGTGACACAACGGTTTAGTATTTGGCTGCTAACTGAAAGGCTGGGAGTTTGAACCTATCCAGAAGCTCTGTGGGAGAAAAGACCTGGTGATCTGCTCTGGTAAAGATTATAACCTAGAAAACCTTACCTGTCAGTTCTACTCTGTCACATGCAGTCCCCATGAGTCAAAATTGACTCTCTGGCACCTGACGACTGACCTAGAACCTCAAGTCTTTTGCCCAACTTTCCTTTCCCATATCTGTTTCTCCTGAGAAGAGCTCAGTCTTGCTCCTCCTAGAGCAAGAGTCATGTCAAACAGGTGGACTTTTTCAGGAACTGGGGATGTCAGTTGCTGCCGCCTTTCTCTTTGGCCACCATTAACATGTATAGAGACTATCAGTGGGATGGATGAAAAAGGGCTAGATTTTCTAAGATTCCTGTATCACTTGTGGGGCAGGGCAAGAAAGAGCACATGGAAAAAATATTCTCCTCAAATGGTTCATAAGAAGCCTCGGGAACCCAAGGCAAGCTCCCACTTCAGCCCTCAATGCTTGGGTGCCGCCCAAAGCTGGAGGGCCCCTGTGGGGGCACTTCGTCACTTGGGAGTAAAGACGGAGGGGGTATGGAGAACTTCCTCCCATTCAATGCCTTGGAATCGCTATTTGACCAGTATGGAACCCGCACAAATGATGCGTTCCCCTCCGGTTGCCAAATCCCCTGATCCAAAGGAACAGTCAGCGGCCACCAGAGACTCCAGCACCCGACAGAATGCCCCCAAACCGAGCGCTGGGTATAGTGGCCTCAAGCTGTTTCGCTCATGACCTGAGGCCCTATTTGGGCTCCAGCTCTCGGGACAGCCTTGCTGCTCTGGTGCTCCCCAAAGCCGCAGACCGCCGGCAGGTGCGCGGTGGG